ACGATGGAGTCATCGTCGATGGTGCCTGCTGCGGTCTCTCGATCTGTTTTTCCCCCCCCTTTAACTGCTTATATCCACACATGCAAGGCACACAGACTTTGGCAAGGGACATTCCAAAGAGATTGGAGCCGCAGGATGATCAAGGCGTATCGAGATGCCAGGGACAATAAGGGGAAAACAATAAGGGGGAAGGGAGGTGTAGAGGATAGGGAAATCGAGGCTCACCTTGGTTTTGCAGTGGTGACACCAAGGTAAAGACGAGACGACTGAATGCTCCACGGCCATACCAGCTGTGCCCTTCTACCCACTCCTACACATTCCGCACTTGGCTTGCCAGAACAATTGCCACATTGTATGGCACTTTTCTAGGTGCAAAATGACTATGCTGTCACGGCTGGCAACCGAAAACGCGAGGCTGCCGAAGTCATTGACCATCGCGGCGGCTAGGGACGTAAAGGAAACATGCTCCTATATCAGGCAACTATCTGCCAAAAACTTCACAAGGCCTGAATGGCGGGTTCTTGCAATGTTGAGGAAGTCCCTTGGCATGCCAGCTGCCACGGTACCATGACCTTTGATAGATGGTATAGACCTGGAGGGCAGACTCTGTTAACAGATATTTGGAAATGTAATGAATAAGATAGATCGCAAAACATAACTTCATCTACGAAGTCTTCCATTTATTATACTACGTATACATTCTTGTCAAACTCTCAAGAGACTTGTCAACTCCACGAGTTATCTCAGCTATTGCAAGGCTGTAGCAACTATTCGTATGTTTATTGACTTGTACTTCCTCGTCAAGAGCCAAGCATGCTGCTGCTGAAATACGGCATGCGATCCATTGCCGGTACGGCGGCTCCGACTACCGCGCTGTCAAGGAGGTCCTGAACCACTTCCCTCGATTCAAGAGTTTGGTTGGGCGATACTCCGGCAATGTTAGAGAAGGTACAAATAACATCAATTAACATGGTCTCTTGGTTGAACGGGCTTCTCCCGAACTAAGCTCCATCGAGTTTGAAGGATGCATTCATTTGTCCATCAAAGGAGCACTGTCCAGAATGCCATCCTCTCTAGTCCGTTCACTGTCCGACGAAGGAAGTGAAACCTAACCTATTTCACAGTCTCAGATCCATTCATTTGAAAGATTGACTCGGCTTGATATCCCAATATTGCCTCGAAATCATTACAGCTCCTACTGCAAAGTAGCTGACTCACGAAACGGAATTCACATAAGAAAAAGGATCCGTAAATATCCACGTGGGTCGTGAGCTTTGCGTCTTTTCTTTGGTCCTACTTTGTTTTCCGACTGTACTCATGATCATCTATGCGTGTTACTGTGACACAGGCGATGTCTCTTGCTCGTGCTGACGGAAACACATGGATGTTGCACCTAGAAATGAGGACCAAGCATCACGAAAAACTTTTTCAAAACCGGGATCGAAATGTCAATGAGATGACCTTGCTAGACTTGGCCATATTGTCCAGAGGCAATGGTCTCATTGTAGACAAACAGTACTGACCGCAAAATTCACCAGTGCCGATCGATCATCTACCCAAGTAGCTTGATTGGGAATCTTCTTCTTCTTCTTTCTATAAATGGTTGATTATTTGAGCTCAGGATTGGACTATCCCAAATACCAAGCGCCAGGAGTCATGTCGAAGCAGCAAAAACTGATTCTAATTGTCGTGTTTTCAATCATAGCTTCTAGACCAGTTGTTTCTACACCACGAAACGATTAGAGTAGATGAGCTTTTGGAATGTCACTGGAGACAGACATCCCATATTCGTGAGCAAGTTCACCCGCTGCAGCTTCCATAAATATTTGACTCAAACTGCTGCCCTGAAATAAAACAAGTACTCGTCGACACCCTCTGTTGGCCTAAGTTCGAAGGCTGACAAATGTTGTGCTTGGCTGATCTCAATCAGTTGATGACATCTCTTCAAAGAAACTGCACATTGAAGCTAGTGAAACTATTTAGAATTTAGATTCCAGTTTTCGTATCGCTTTGCCATGAGTGGTAAATGAACCTCAAAGTCCAGGAAGATTTCATTCAACTGACTTTTTCAGATGACAATATTCCTTGATAACACAATTCTAGGTATTCTATCTATTGCATATATTTGTGCCACTCGTATTTGCCATAATGTAGGGGTATAGGATAGCATCACCTGAGATGAGAGCCCTTCAAGCGTATACCTTGATTGAATTTGGCAAACAACTTCACTTGAAACTAACAACAGTCTCGCAGAAATGCATGTACGATGCAGCAGATATGACCAGCTCTCGAGATACTCCAATACGGGGGGATCAGTTCCACCAGGCCGAAGTCATACTGTTTACCGAGAGTTCATCACGTCGTCATTACATGTCACGTCGTGAGGCCACGTCCTTCTGCTGTTCCAAAGCTAATGAGTTGAACATGAGCAAGGCATAGGAGTGTATATCAAAGAAGTTTCGCGCTCATAATGATGACAGCGACTACTCAGGTACTGGCTGGCCAAGCCGACGCGATTTTGACCTGGTTCAGTGGTGATAAAGCCAGAACCTTTCGTAGCTGGCGCTTCTCGAGGAGTGACACGACTCAACAATATACTGCTATCTACACACCTTCATAAAATTCCGGAAGAATTTCCTCTTGGCCAAGAACAATCATTGCTTGCTGACTAGGCGTTCGATGTTCCGTGTTCAAAGTCACAGAACGGTCTAACGGCCATCAAGTCAAGATTGACGGGATCGCGTCAAACCAGCCTGAGCCGTGGTCGCGATTCGGACTACATAGGAATCATTTCCTATTATTCCTTCTGTATACATCCTTGCCGATTCTGCAACAACTATCGGAAACTTGGTATTCGACTCATGGCCCATTGAGTTTCGATCGAGTATAGTAGTGGGTCACTTTCCCAAAAGGTGCATCGTGCAGGATAAGATGTGTTCTCGCCCTCGAAGGTCCAGGAATTGTTGAGAAACTTGTGAATGGTTGGGAAGTCGGAAAACTGCTCTTGACATAATCAAAGACATCGAAAAAGCAGGTCGTCATCCAACCATCTGCGAGTCCTTATCCTCTTTGCCCCATAATCAGAAATTGCAGAGACACCGTGGAATTTGGCCACGGAGTCTTCCCGTTATCAAGCTCATCTGGGTTATGGAGACCTGTAATCATGTTGAGTTCATATGGAAGGCGGATCTTTGAAAATTAAGTAGCCGGCAGTGCTTCCAATTTGACTGTCGACTGAGCCTTGTAGTATATGGCGGAATTTCCGAGATCTTGCATAACAAGATAGCCGGAGTCCGGGTTGTTGCCAGGCTCGCCACGACGGTCTGGCTGCTGTTTAGAATATATGCCCTGCAGAAGTGCAGTAGATGTGGGTTGCGAATCAGTGTTTTAGCAGCAGCGGTTGTCAGTACCGCGACCTAGTGACGATGCCGCCGAGAAACCGCCGTCACCTCCGGGCCAAGAAACCCGGGTTCCATTGATCTGCGATAAGGCGCGCCCATAGCGACAATGATGGTGTTTCACATGTTGTGAGATTGGCAATGATGGCACAGAGAGACGAGATCGGGTTGCACGAAATGTCTGCTTGGCCTCCACCAAATGCTCCGTTAGCTGTAACCATCAACGGCGGTTCGGACATTTTTGCGTTCTCTGCTAGCAAAGAGGAGTTGTACACTTCGGCTAGGCAGGGGTATAGCGCTGTAGCGATTGGGTTGTAAAAGTTTCCATGATAGCAGAAGGGGACATGGTGGACACTGACGTGACAACGATTTGTCAATGGAAAATACGGTTACAAATGCATGATTCAGATGGAAAGCATCTCAAGATACGCAGTCCCTGCTTCTAGCTATGTATATACTCGAGGCCGGCTTGGAAATTGCTTCGTCATGGGAGGCAGTTGAGCGAGACCTGGACGCGTGGACCTCTAGACTTCGGCTTGCGAGCTAAATTAGCTCCGTGTAAGGCACTGGGGTTGCCAAGGCGGGGGAAACATTGGAGAACGAACCAGGGTTTGAAGCACAAGACGTCCAAAATGTTATAAATCTTACAGCAGTCAGAGCGTTTTTGGAGCATCTCTTCCCTAATTCCCACATCCAATGAGTGATTCTTGCAAATATCTACTGGGTACAAGTTGCCCTTGCTACAGCGCTATGGACCCTTGATCGAATGCAAGCGAGTCTATTGGTCTGAATCGGAGGAATCACGATCCGACGTGGACATTTTGGTGGTTAATCGCCACACAAGTGTCATCCTCTTGCACAAGCATTCTTTTCAAGTCATCATGACATGTGTAAACTGGATGATTAAGGTAATGTGCTTGGCAAGACCTCGGGAATAGTTATGCATGTACATACACACGTGGACCCTGGTTTGTTTAATGTTAATACCCGAGATATTGTTGCAATTGCAGATCTTGTTGCAGACTGCCGCTCACAAGGGTTTCGCTCAAGGGGCATCAAGACGACATGTAATGCCCCATATTACACTAGAAATAACGAATCAAGGTTGTGGGGGAAACAGCGCTTATAACTTGCCCCATGGGCCACCATCACCGGAAATTGTGGGTACGACACCCTAAGCACCCTAGAGTAAAATTCCGTCACAAGTTCTGTCGCTCAAGTGCCAGGTTTGGTTGGGGTTCGTCAAATGGATGCAGCCAGGGGGAACACGTACATACACTACCACTATTCGGTGACAACGGGTTTTGCTCTCGCCTTTGTGGTCGACACTACACAGTACTAATACGAGTCCTCCGGGGATACCTTGAAAGTGACTCCCACTGTGGGCGGCTTTTCTTTTATAGCCGTTGCCGAGCTATACTCCTGGCTCTTGGCTGGCTATTTAGTCCTTGGGGCTTCTTGGCTACCAACCTTTGATCCAGTTGATAGGCCAAGTAGTGGTTGTTGTTGTGAGAGTTGCCCTGTCTTCCCCCGGAATCGACCATACAACACTAGACAACTCGACACGATAAGTCTGCGACGGTGCTGAACCAAACGCCCAAAATGGATGAGAACAAGCCACAAGTCAAGGATACGGAGCGTCAGGCTACGCAGGTGCCGTCGTCGGTATGAGCCTTACCTTGACGCATTATCGCCTTTGTTTTCAATTGACTAACGTGTCGCCTGACTATCAGGGTGAGGTGGAAGACTTGACAGACGAGCATCGCGCATACTTGATGGACAGACATGGCTCACTGGCATTGGAGCCAGTCCCGAGTATGGATCCAGCCGATCCATACAACTGGCCAAGAAGCACGGTAAGCAACCAATATCGACTATACCGTGCCTTGACACCTCGCTAATCGGTTTGCCAAGAAAATCACTAACCTCGTTCTGGTGGCCTTCCACGCCATGATGGGCACATTTACCGCCGCCTCGATTCAGTGTGCCTTTGTCGATATCGCCAAAGATTTGGACATCGAAGTCCAACAAGCGAGTTACCTGACCTCGCTGGTCATTGCCATCCTCGGCGGAGCACCAGTACTCTGGCGCCCGATTGCCAATATATACGGAAGACGACCCATCTTTTTGATCTCCTTGATCTGCAGCATGGCTGGCAATATAGGCTGTGGCTTCAGTCGCTCATACGGCACAGTCGCTCTCTGCAGAGCTATTACGGCCTTCTTCATCAGCCCTGCTGCTGCTATTGGAAGTGCCGTCGTCTCCGAGATGTTCTTCAAGACTGAGCGTGCCACGTTTATGGGAGCATGGACGATTATGGTCACGATTGGTGTGCCAATTGCACCATTCTTGTTCGGATTCGTTGCGCTACGGGTCGACTACCACTGGATCTACTTTATCCTCGCCATCACGAATGCCGTGCAATTCATCTTGTACCTATTCTTGGGTCCCGAAACTTTATATCGACGCGACTTTGCCGTCAAGCCCAGCAACCCGAGGCTCAAGAAGAGCTACTTTAGTTTTGGGCGTATTAACCCCGACCCCTTGACAATCCAGGATTTCTTGCACCCCTTCATCTACTTTACCAAGCCCGTGGTCTTGATCCCCGCTGTTGCATACGCCATGATCTTCCTCTGGTCAAACATTATGCCTACCATTGAGATTCCTCAAATTTTCCCAGAAAAGTACGAGTTCAACACCCAGCAAGTTGGCTTGCAATTCCTGTCTTTTATCTTGGGTTCTATTATTGGCGAACAAGTAGGCGGGCGCATGTCCGACGTGTGGATGAACCAGCGCCGAAAGAAGATTGGGTCGGCACCACCACCGGAATACCGTCTATGGCTAAGCTACATTGGCCATGCTCTGGCTATTACGGGTGTGATTGTCTTCCTTGTGCAAACCGCCCATACTGATGTCTACAATATCACGCCGCTTGTCGGTACTACGATCGGCTCAGTGGGCAACCAACTCGTCACTACTGTATACATTACTTATGCTGTAGACTGCTACAAGGAGGATGCCGCTGGAGTAGGAGTCTTTATCACGTTTGTTAGACAGATCTGGGGCTTCATTGGTCCCTTCTGGTAGGTTCTTCCCTAAATATTGACATGCTTGAAAGGTTTACTGACGCCGACAGGTTCCCACAACTCATTGAGGCCGTCGGTATGCCGGGGACGGCTGGTGTGGCTACCGCAATGATGGTGGTCTTTTCTGTGCTGCCGACCCTCGTACTCCAATTCTTGCGTAAAAGCCGGCAATGAGAAGAGAGGCCGGGGTTTGAGAGGCAATGGATATGCAGGTCAAGTCTCATGAGTCTTGTATCTAGGAACGCAAGTCATTAATTCTAATGGGAATATTCTTTGTGATGAGCCTACTCCTTCATATGTTCGCTTGATACCATCATGAGCTTCCAAGCCTTGTCTAGCTGAGCCAGGAAGTGATGGCAAAGTTCAAACCCCCTTCTAGTGCAGGATGGTCCATGTGCCAGGTCTCGCACAATCCGTGACCGCCAGGTGCCGTCGAGAGCTTAACCGCACACCCAGGTCGTTTGTCTTGCAATAGACTGACAAATGCCTTGCTGCCCTCGACTGGAACGATTTCATCATCGTCTCCATGAATAATGAAGAGCGGCGGTATCTCGCCCCCCTTCTCCACGCGTTGAAAGGGAAGGAGTCGCTCGTCGCGACCAAAGTAGTCAAGGAACACACCATTGTCGGTCATGGACATGATTAGAGGGAATCTCGAAATGGACGGATCAGATGAGACGACTTGGCCTCCTGTCATGGATGCCACGTGACTTTCAACAATGGCCAGCGGAAATTTGATATCCGCGCTGGGCTCGGTAAAGTTGCTCGACTCCAATTGAAGAGACGGAAACTCGGCGGTGCAGGCCTTGATTTCTTTGGGGTGGTCCATGGCGACCTGAATGCTGAGGTAACCACCTTGATAGAGGTATACTGTTCAGAGAGCCGGACAAACTTTCATGTGCAGATAGCAAAAGGAGACTCACCTGCGCTTTCACCCGCAGTCATAAGTTGGTCCAAATTCGGCCTCACCTTGGGACACTGGCCCTGGACAAAAGTCACGAGCTCGCGCGTGACCCATGTCCAGAAGTCGTCCATGTCTTGCATGATGTCGGCGCCATTCGACTCGGGCAGAAGCCGGTAGTTGGGAGTGACGACTATAGCATTATGCTTCAAAGCTAATTCGACCTGGAAAGTGGGAAACCAATCGGGGTGTAGAGAGTCTCCAGTAACCTGGACGGGAGGACAATTAGGCCAAGCATAAAGGCGGGATTATCCCGAGTGCTAACTCACAAAACCGCCTCCATGGAAGCGAAGAATGACTGGACAGTCACCCTCTGTCAATGCTCGAGGTATCAGAACGTTGACTTGTAGTGGATGCTCTCCAACCGTCTTGTATGTAGTTGAGAGAATCCGAAAATCCTTGAATTTTTCCGCCATTATGAACAGCGTGGCGAAACGTCGGCCTAATAAGTTTCTCTTGTGTGGTATAAAGTACTTGTTTTCAATACGTTTATTTGTCCGACACTGAAAGCAAAGAACGTCAAGCCAAATACTAGGATGGAAAGCTATAAGTAACGTCGTGAAACCAGTCGCTTGGTGTTGGGTACGGATCACCCGGCTACACCCTAATTGCACTAGAGACAACACGATGCCACTTTGCCCCATCCTGTTGTGGGACACTGAGGCGATCACCAAAGTGCTTGGCAGCGCAATAGTGGTCAGTATCTCGTAATCAGCGATAGCCATCCCACTTGCCACAGGTTACATCCCATTTATCCCACATACATCCCACATGATTTGATGTTATCATAAAATCTGCTCCTACATGGTCGAGTTTAATTTCTGATCTCCTCAGCCTCGAGGGAATCGAGAGTCAATCCGTCAGATCAATCAAGTTAACCGTGCGGTAATCAAGTCCAACGAACTAATCCCTCCCGTTCGCTAATTATGGAGGTCGAGTCCGCATTACTGGATACAGTGCAGTATCTACTTGGCGAAGGGAAAGCAACGCCTTGCCACCATACGCATGGCCATCCACGACCCTTTATTGAGAATTGGCCAGTTTCCGCTCAATTACAAATGCTAAAACAACTTCTTTGTGAGCGTGCGGCTGAGCCTGAGCTACCTTCTGCCATATCCAATAACGTCCGAACCATTTACGAATATCTGCATGCGCATCGCTTTTTAACATCCATTGAAACGCTCAAACCCAGCCGAACCATAACTGGGAGCAATCAGAAGAAAATCCATTTATTTTGCTGGCGAGGCGACATTACGACTCTCTCTGGCGTGACGGCCATTACCAATGCTGCCAATTCCCAAATGCTCGGCTGTTTCCAGCCCAGCCATCGCTGCATCGACAATGTTATACATTTTTGGGCCGGACCCGGGCTGCGGAAAGAATGTTACGATGCTACATCCCAGGGAACTATCGAACTACCGGTCGGACATGCTCTTACCACGAAGGGGCATCACCTGCCTGTGCCGTACATTATACACACTGTCGGCCCCCAGCTTCGAGGCGGAGCCAAGCCTACGGCCGAGCAGAGACGCCAGCTCGAGGACTGTTATGTTTCCATTCTACGAGAAGCAGAGCTCTTGCCAGCCACCAATACTAGAAAGGCTGTTGCGATATGTTGCATATCAACGGGCCTATTTGCATTTCCACCACTGGAAGCTACCAATATTGCCGTGCAAGTCACCTCGCGCTGGTTACAAGAACATGATACCACTATTACAGATGTGGTGTTCAACACCTTTACCGAAGCGGATACTATTATTTACCAGGAATTGCTGGGAAGTGCCCATTCTGCGCCCCTGATAACATATGCACCGGTTGACCAGTCCTTCTCGTCTCTGGGACGTGCTCGTGACTGGCTGCTGTCGGCCGACGCTATCCTCATAAGTGCCGGAGCAGGTCTCTCAGCGGCAGACGGATTAGACTATACATCACCAGCACTCTTCTCAAAGTATTTCCCAGCGTTTAAAAAATATGGTTTGACGACATTATACAGCGTCTTTGGGTTCTCCGAGTGGCCCTCGGAGCAACACCGCTGGGGGTATTACTTTACCCACCTGAACATGGTCAAGTCGTGGCCTCGGTCGTCAATGTACACGGGGCTTATATCCTGGCTTCGGAACCGGAGCGCCGAGGTGCACGTCAGAACTTCCAACGCCGACGGCCTATTCCTCGCCAATGGGTGGAGCGAGGATGCTCTGTCGACGCCGCAGGGCAGCTATGCTGTACTTCAGTGTTTGAAGAATTGCCGGCCTGATGCCACGGCACCGTCTGCCCCGTTTTTGGAGGCGGCCATCCCGTTCTTGGACCCAGTCACGCAGCAATTGACGGCTCCTGACAAGATACCGCAGTGTCAGTTTTGTAGAGGCAAGATGAATATCTGCGTCCGGGCCGGAAATTGGTTCAACGAAAGGCCGTTTGCTGCTGGCGAGCGACGTTGGCGGCAATTCAAGGCAGACACGCGCGGTCGGGGCAAACGACTCGTCATTCTGGAGCTGGGAGTCGGACAGTCAACACCTGGCGTCTTGCAATGGCCTAATGAGGACATGGTTGACAAGGACGGGGGCAAGACCCTGCTGGTTAGGGTTGGGCTGGGCGTTGACGCGACGGTACCGCTGGAGCTCGAGGCGCAGGGACTCGCGACGTATATTGACGGGGATATTCAAGCGCTGTTATCTAGTCTTTGCTCAGGAATTCCCAGATAGGGGAGAAAAATTCCAGTTATAAGGCCTTTGAAACTTAGCGCTGATATGCTACGTTTGTCTGATTTTATACTGTACACGGAACGCGTGACACCGGCCTTCAAATGTGTAAACTCTTGTTAGTGAATCTATAAAGTATGACACATTGTATATATCTAGAAACAACTACTGGTCCGAATTCCAGCCAATATCAGCCATTGCTCTTGTCATATTCTTTGCACAAACCCGCGGCAACAACTCCACATTGAGAAATGCCAAACAAGACTTGGAGCCTTGCCGGTCAGATCAGATGAGGTTTGAGCACATACAAGACTCAGATGATGTTACTCCTCGACGACGAACTATGAGGGAAGATAGTTTTTTTTGCATCTTTTGCATCACCTCCATCTTTTGCATCACCTCCATCTCTTGCATCACCTGTATCTTCTGTTGGGCACCCAGCGCTTATGCCAACCGGGTATTTTGTAAATTCTGTGTCTTTTGCATCTTTTTGAGGTCTGGCGCTTCAGCGACGCCTCACGGTGCCGGAGAAGCTGGGTGCATGAATCGTGTCTATGACGAATAGCGTACTGGAGGGCAGTCACGTATCTGTCGTCCCTGCGACTGATTTCCGCCCCTGCCCCCAACAAAATCTTGACAATGTCGACACGCCCAAACGCCGAGGCACGCATGAGCAGCGTTTCCTGGTGGCGGCCCCGCTCACACACATTGGCGCCTTGGTCCACCAAGTACTGAACCATCGGGGCATATCCTGAATCGACCGCTCCCTTGATGAACCAGATTTCTGGATGCTGAAAGGGAATGCTTGCCCCTCTTTCCACAAAGACCTTGACAACGTCGACATGCCCTTGCATCAAGGCGAGCTCCATGGCTGTATGTCCATCCCGGTCGACATGGTGGGTACTTGCTCCTCTTTCCACCAAAAGTTGAACCAGAGACGTATTTCCATGGACTGACGCAAAAGATAATGCCGTATATCCGTTTATCTCATCTTGTGATTCAATGCTTGTACCTGCATCCAACATTGCCTCGACAATTTCATTTAGGCCCCAAGAAGCCATCCAATCCAATGTTGATAGGCTGTTCGCCTTATTCTTTTCGTTCCAGCACCGATAGAGACTCATCGCTCGGTCGACACAACCGGCACGTGCAAGAAGCTCAAGCATATTTTGGGCGTTGTTGAAGTCATCCATGACGGACGCTGTCTCGACATCCGACAAAAGTATGGCCACCTCTTCACGCATGTCTCTCTCCATCAAACACCATGCGAGTTGCCACAAATGTGTGAATCGGATAGAGTCATGCTCTTTCGATCTTTTGATATCGTCGAGTCTCTTGAGACTTGATCGCATGATCGTATATGCCTCCTCCACGTTTCCCGCTAGCCACAGAGTCGCTGCTTTGGTCTCAGTCGCTCGAAACATTTTGGGGTGGTCGCATCTATTGCGTTTGGAATACGAGTCCAACACGAACTGGATTATTCGTTCAGAGTCGTCAAACCGCTTAGCATTCCGCAAAGCAATTGAATGATACCTCAGAAGTGATAGTGCTTGGCGACTCCACATTTCTCCTTGGTAGATAATTTTGCACCATGCAGGACCTTTCTGAGCAAACTCATTATTGCATAGTGAAATCTCTAGTCGACGAGAGATCTTCAGTCCATCATCCCACATCTCGTGCGACAGGAGAATTCTCGAGAGGTAAGAGAGGATGTAGAGAATCAACATCTCTGTATGCGGATGCGAGTTGAGTCCATCAGCAACCACGAGCGATTCCTGCAAGAGTGAAAGGGCTAGGCAAGAGTCAACACTGTGTGCTTTTGGATCATCGCAATTCTCCATGACTGCCAATAATAGCAGACACCAGCCTTCGTAGTAATCTCGCTTCCCTGCTACTCGGCACAGAGCCCGTTCCATTGCGCATTTGGCAGCTGGCCGGTTCTCGTGTTTAGTCCTCCAATGGGTCCATGCCCAGAAGATGTGAATCGGAACTGGCAGAATATCGAGCCGAAGGACTAGCAAGGACCGGAGAGACCGGAATTGGCTCAGCGCGAAACGTCCCGATTGGACAGAGATGAGCATGTTTCTTTTGTGTTCTGTCTTCGCGAGGAAGGCTGGTAATGCACTCAGAGCCCCCTTTGTTGCACTATCAAGGTTTGGCATGGGAACAGTAATGGAACTCTCTCCAAATTGGGTCTCCTGATTTGTTTTGACAACCTTGGCGTCCAAGCCATAAAAGTCAGCCGCGAACCCAATGATCGAGGCCCATTTTTGACATCTCCTGTCGTCTTGTCCAAAAAGGGTTGCTCTTCGGTTGAGTTCTTGCTCAAAGGATGTCATGATATTCGAGTACAAGTCTCCGGAAGCTTTCGGAGCCTCGCCATCGGGACATGTTTCGCGCTCGGTCAACGCGACCAAGAGGCCCGTCCAATGGGCGACTGTATCCCATGAGTCCATTTCGATGGTGCGCACCACAAACTCAATAAGACTACAGAATTGAGTAGATGATATGAAATTCTGTAGAACAGTCCGCGACTCTGGGTCGAAGGGGGTATGCATGACGTCGAGCAGATGTGTCGGTACGGATTTTGACGCATAGGTAAAGAATGGGTACTTAGCAGGCAGCCTCTCGTCACCCTCATTCTCATCATACATTGGGTAACCCAAGTCCAATGAAATGAGATACTTTGCACAAGCCTGAAAGATCATCTTCTGAGCGGATGTCTGATCGATTCTGAAGTGCACGACCCCGCCATTGATACCCCCCCATTTGTTCACAGGGCGAGTCAGGAATTCCGCAGCAGAAGCGTGGATAAGGTGAAATTCACCTCCTGTTTCGACGACAAGACCTGCGCAATCATCGATTATCCCATCCCTCGTAAGTTTACTGTAGCCAGGAGACTGTGTACCTCCATACTCGGTGGCGTACGCGCAATCCAGCTCGGTCAGTGTGAGGGGTTGAGACGCTGCGATGATCAGACTGAACAGTCGTTTTGCTCGCTTCATGGACACGGAGGGATCTGCTGATGTGCCACCAGTGCGATTCATGGACTGATTCAGTAAACCACAATACTTGGCGTCTAAGTTTCCGAGACGTATGTTAAGGGAATCTGTGACTTCCGACTCGGTAGCATCTTGTTTCAGGCCTTTGAAGAAGAGGATGACCCATAAGAACATCATTTGGCAGTTTTCTTTCAAAGATTCCCGGATGACATCCCTCATCAAGGACACACGGGCGCATTTTGACTGATCCAGCTGTTCTTCGATGAATTTCTCCATGTCTCCTCTGATGAGTTCCTCGCGGATTTGAATTTCAGCGGGGTGCTTTCTGATGGCTGCGCGTAGAGCGCTCTCGCGACCGGATAGCCAGACACGGGTATTTGGGTGGTGTTCCAGGAAGTCGATTATTGTACTGAGATTGCTCGTTTTGGAATCGTCCCAGGTATCTGTAGCTTCGTCGACACCATCTATCATCAGATAGACGTCAGACTTGACCAGCCTGAACACTGAACTGAGAGCCTCCTTCAATCTCGGCCCTGAAAGCGACGAACTGCCTATGAAGTGGCGCGGCAGCTGGTCTAGGTCAGCATCCGATACGTGTGGCAATAGCTGCGATAGAACCGTTTCGAGAAGACTCCTGAATGTTTGGTGGGTTGAATATGGGGCCCGGAAGGAGAAGGATGCAACAATTTTCCCCCGCTCCCTCAATTTGGTCGCAACGGATGCAGACAAGACAGATTTACCGCAGCCTGTAGGTCCATGCAGACAAAATAGCCTGCGGAAGGGGTCTGGCTCATCACCTTGGGTATGTTCTGCCCATTTTTTTAAATCGTTTTGATACCAAATCCATTCACAAGTGCTGTCAAGTTTTCGGGGAATAAAGTCATCATCACAAGAAGACAAGTTGGATTCGAGCTGGAGGCGTAGCTGAGTCGTTCCCATTGAGCTGATTTCTGGGCATCATTAGCGCTTCTCTATAATATCAGGTGAAGTGAGGGGCAGTTGTGTACCGTTTTGTGTACCATTTTGTAGTAGCAGTATGAGCGAGGTCTTTGTTTCTTCAATGCCATCTCGATACTCTTTTATTGTTTTGTCGAATCCTGTGACTGCAAGCTTGAGCTGACCAGCCAACCGCCGAAGAGAGCCCTTGGCAACATGCTGGCGGTTGAGAACTGTATTGAGGCCCGTGAGATGCTTCTCCAGCTCTGCGACGTGTGCAGTGATGCCTCGGAGCGAAGACTGGTCAAAGGAAGTAGGTTTCCGTCGTCGCAGATCGTCCAGAATGCTCTTTACACTATCAAGCTGGTGCTGCAACCCATCGATATTGTGAAAGAGAACTTTCTTTTGGCTGAACTGTTTTACAATTGATATCGTGGTTTGAATGATGGTGATCACGCTTGGAATCCCAGCGATGACACCAAAGACCTCCATGACACGAGAGGTATGATGTAAACGCCTCTAGCTGTGGTCCAGCAAGTATGATTTTGACTGTGAGAGGTGATCAAGAACGATGTCTCACGTTTGCCGCACGGGAGTTGGGGCACTGGGGGATATGAGCAGGTTCGTTGATGGGGGGGTTGGCGATGGCATTGGACTGCTGGGCTGTTTGGCGTTTTCTACCCAGGAGGAGATAGACTATGCCTGAGCGAGTCGGCCTGTATACATTGGCCAAAGGTATTTTCAGCTTCTGCCAAATATAAACCGATGACCCGTTGCCAGCCTGGTATGGGGCAACTCCGGTCATCTTTTCTAAGCGCCATGTCCCCAGTCTGGTAGATGGTCAGCGGCACGGGCGACCCCCATATAGCCCATACAGCCCATACAGTTCGAGTACCTATCCAATCGCCGGTTGCCAAATCCCGCCGCCTAAGCTCCGGCTGGCAGAAGCTGCATAGACATGAATTCAATAATAGTCTGGCACAGTTGCAAGAAAAGTGTTGCGTTTATTGCAAAAGTCGTCCCCCGGGATCAATCGGCAATAAAACCACTGAAATGGCGTATAAGGAGCGGCTAAAATACGGTAATCATAATGACTTGGCAAGGCTACCTCCATTTTATGGTGCATTTGAAATCCAACAAAGACTAGGTAATTGTGCATACAGACTGTGCCCAAACTGGAGTCGATCCTGTAACATATATCGCGAGCGTGATAAAACCATTGGCAGATGGGTAAAACATGTCAAGTACGGGTCTTATGGGTGAGTCAAGAGTGGCTGTGACGGGCGGCTAATGACACATACGGCCGCTAGATCTCGACCCTCTTTCAACCACGGGCTCCGAAGTTTCCATCATAAAACAATTGAATCTTTACGTCTTTTAAATCATGATGGAAATAAGTTTCCGGTTACACCCTGAAATAAGAATACGTACCAAGATGGAGTATCTTCAAGGCAAGACAAATGTCTGCTTGTCGGGAGGCGCAGACGGAGCCGATCTCGAGTGGGGCAAATGCGCCGAATCTAGCGGGCACGAGGTGATTCACTGGAGTTTCCCCGGGCACAGGAGCCAGGCACCCGAAAGCCAAATTGTACGACTCGACGATGAACAGCTCAGAATAAGCGACGAGGCTCTCAATAATGCAGCAGTCGCCCTCGAAAAGGACCCACCGCGGCGGCCGACGGTGGCTCGGTTGCTGCAGCGCAACTATTACCAGGTCGCTTGGAGTCAGGCCTGTTATGCAGTCACTGTCATTAGGGAGGATGCGCCGCCGGGAGGGACAGCCTGGGCGACTACCATGTTCAGTCAGCTGCACCCAGACAATCACAACCTATACATTTTTGACCAAGAAAAAAATGTGTGGTTCCAGCATAATGGTACAGCTTTGGTGCAAATTGACAGTCCACCACGTCCGACGGGCATTTGGGCTGGGATTGGTTCACGCGACCTCAGGCAGAGCGGCATCGATGCCATCAGGAAGTTGATGGGGGTGTTAGACTGAACAGACCTGAGACGCTTACTTCAACTGGGTTTGCGATTGGCCTAGACAGAAGGCCAGGGCTGGGAAAATACCACTTTCCCCGACACATAGCCCGATGGGGTCGCGTCAGCACATGCTGCATCCATGGATGAGAACTCGCACAAGGATGACAGCCATTGAAAATTTGACATCTCAACTTGATCAAAACTATTGGATGCTGTCTTCGCATCATTATGATCAACAACCTATGGAATCCATTCAATTGTTCTTATGATCACAATCTAAGTTATTACAAACTTTGACCAATTATCCCGAGTACAGGCGTCCAAGGCTTCCGAGTACCTAGGCAGGCCTCCTACATAGTGTAGAGCCTCCTTTTTCTTCCCGGGTATGTTCCCCCCCATGTACCAAGTAGTTTCATTGAGAGGGAGGAGAGTTTTGTAGCACTCTTCCGTTGCGTGTTGAGCCCAAGCTACCTCGGCTTCGCATTTTGCTTCAACCCTCGTCAAGCCATGCCGCTTCATGTGCAGCATGGTCTTTATGATCCAGTCGCCCTGGATCTCAGACGTGACCGGGCCCGCGGCTGATGCCGTCGGGCTTTGCGGCCCGTACAAGAAGAACATGTTGGGAAATCCCGAAGTCGCCATGCCCAGGGCGGTCCTTGTCCCTTGTTTCCACACGTCGGCTAGTCTGCGGCCTTCGAGCCCATTGATATCGAACCTGGCGTAGCTGCCAGTGATGGCGTCGAATCCAGTTGCCAGGACCAGTGCGTCGAGCTCGATGGCGGTGCCGTCCGCCAGTAGCACACCGTCTGGCACAATCCTTTTAATTGGGTTCTTCAGGAGCGGGATCAACGACACGTTGTCTTGATTGAAGACCTCGTAAAAGTTTTGTTCCAATGACGGCCGCTTTGTACCAAAGGGATAGGGCGGGTCTGTCGGAGCAAGATTCTCAATGAGTTCGGGATCTGTAGTGTGAAGCCGTTGCCGAACTTTATCGCGCCAGAATTTGTAGAAGATGTGGTTTGCGTGAATGTCCGTGGAGAAGTCAGAGTAGTTGCCGTGACAGGGTGCAAATCCGCCTTCCTGCCACAGTCGTTCATACAAAGACTGCCGCTGTTCCTGCGAGTCGTCCAGCGCACGTCGCGGTACTGGAGCGGCATTGGTACCCGCAAACGATAGTCGCATCTGGCGGAACGCCTCGGGATAGGTGGACTTGTCGAAAAGCTCTGGCGTCATCGTCTTTTGTCGCATCGGAAGCGCGCAATTTGGGGATCGTTGAAAGACGACCAGGTTTTGGGCAATCGGACCCAGCTCCTGGATGACTTGGACGCCGCTCGCGCCCGTACCAATCACGCCGACTCGCTTCCCTTGGAGATTGACCTCTTGCTTTGGCCATTTGGCAGTGTGACAGGCGAAGCCCTTGAAAGTTTCAAGGCCTTCTAATCGTGGTGTATATGTCTTGGATGCGAATCCTACCGCAGGCAGAAGAAAGCGTGCGGTTGCGCAATGTCCGGTGTTGGTCTGGACAACCCATCGGTTCTGCTCTGGAATAAAGGTTGCCTTGATCACACGGGCACCAAAAGTAATGTCCTTGGAGAGGTTCCATTTCTTGTCAACAAACTCAAAATACCGAAGGATTTCTTTTTGGCTTGGGTATGCTTCAGTCCATTCCCACTCGGCCCATATCTCAGGGTCGGAGAACTCGTAAAAGGGAGTGCAGCAGTCCACACGGGCACCGGGGTAGCAGTTGCTCTGCCAGACACCACCCAGGCCGTCGCTCTCTTCAAAGAGCTTGGCCCGGAAACCCTGCTGTCGGAGACTATGGAGTAGATAGCAGCCACCAAACCCGGCTCCGATGATTATGGCGTCGAGTATCTGGTCGTCGTTGTTGAATGGTTGCATCTTGATCAAAATTGATGATGATGATAAACAAACCTGCTATAGTGCCATAGAGCTTGTATCGTTCATGTCTGGTCTGCCCGTATCGTGCGGAAATATATATGTTCGAACGTACTTGTAGCCTATGGGACGGGTGCTGAATGACCCAGTTGCCGTATAGACAGATAAGATGCACATTGTATACTATGCATTGCCTATCACCTGCGATCTTGGCATCCTATTGGCATTTCGGGAATTTCTGCCGAGTGGGTACGGGGGTATTGTGCCAGCCACTGATCTGCGTAAATGAACCAGGATGCATACAGGTTACTGCTTATCATTGGTCCCCCATTTTCCGGCTCTTGATGCCGTAGTCTTTATCTTTGTAAAGTCTAAACCTGGATTTGAGATATAGATCTGTGAGTTATCTTTACGGGGAAACTTGCTGCAATCATCTCTGGGGGGTTTGTCGACTAGAACGTCTACGTTGATCGATGATTCCTGGTGGGCACCGTACATAAAGTGACCGATCGCTAGCATAAAATACCTACTGAGCACCAATGTCAAGCAAACTACCGAGTCCTGACTCCCCCAAAGCGCAAACGAGACAGAACACAAGCGCTAGTCACAATCATGACATTCTCCATGCCCATCGATCATTCTGCAAATGACAGCCAAGAGGCCAAAAAACAAGAGTCTTGTGGCCTCGAACCCACACGTAGCATTGCCGAAGCCGAAGTCCACACTTCGCTAGACGACACTCGAAATGGAGAATTTCACCGTTCATTCTCGCCTCGCAAAGTCCATGCAAGTGTCATGTAATCAATAATGAAAACAGATGAATCATGACTGACAAGAACTCCCAAGATAATTTCCCTCGGGTCCAATATCGGTAGCGGCGTCTTCATCGCGACGGGCAAGGCGCTGGCCCAGGGTGGGCCGGCAAATATGGTCATTGCATACTTCATGGTCTGCAGTTGTGTATGGGCAGTTTTGCAGTCCCTTTCCGAAATGACAATTGCGTTTCCAGTCTCCGGTAGCTATGTCGACTACGTTGATCGCTGGGTCGACCCAGCCGTAGCTTTTGGAGCAGGCTTTGCCGAATGGATAGGTAGGGGTATCATCAAATCGTCGCCGCCAGCATCACATCGCTGACAATGTCACCAGCATGGACTGCCATTGTGGCATCAGAGGCTCAATTCTTCAACATATTGTTGCAATACTGGACTGCGGACAATTTCCCCCCTACTGCCACCTGCAAGTTCTCTTTCTCTTCATGTGAGGTTCATGTCTGACTCTCTCTCGCAGTCACTATATTCCTTGCGATAATTATCATCATCTTTGTGCTTCCAAATCGAGCATTTGCATGGTTCGAGTACGTGACCTCTATTATCAAGATTTTCCTGTTTCTCATCATCATTGCCCTGTCGCTGGCACTTGTGCTGGGTGCTGGACCACAAGGGCGCGTTCACCATGGAGAAACGTGGACAGAGCTACCTGCTTTTCTGAATGGCTTTTCAATGAGTCAAATCCCTTTGGTTAACCATTCAGAACTCAGAGTAACCGGATCTAGGGCTTCGCCAGTTGTGCTTTACTCGCGACATGGGCGGTCGGCGACCAGGTCTTTATTGGAGTCATGGCTGGGGAGACGCAGAGCCCGCGGTTCTCCATGGCGCACGCGACCAAGCTCGTGCCCTTTCGCGTCAACATTGTCTACATGGTCTCGGTCGTTTTCATCACCATCCTAGTACCGTCCAATGACGATCGGTTATTGAGCGGCAGCGGTGTCGCGGCATCGCCCTTTGTGGCCGCCGTGCAAGATGCAGCCATTCCCGGCATCGCGTCGCTGCTCAACGCCGGCATGATGTGCGGAGTCCTCGGTATCGCAGCGGAAGCGGTCTATCTCTCCTCTCGGGTCTTGCGAACCATGGCGCACCAGAAATTGATTCCCGAGCGTCTGGCCAGAGTTGATGCACAGGGAAGGCCACGCTTGGCTTTGCTCATCACCACTATAGTCGCTGTGATCCTTACCTATGTCCAAGTCACATGTAAGTCATGGGCCCCAATAAATTCGGGCTTTGCTCTGCATACTGACCCTACTGACAGCTGGTGGTGCAAACGTTTTGAACTGGTTGCTTTCCATCACTAGTGCATCCTTTTTCACGAATTGGATGATTATTTCTTTTACCAATTGGCGTTTTCACTGCGCCTTGAAGTCTCAGAGCGACGCCTTGTTTACCGAAATTTACGCATGGAAGTCAACGCTGTGGCCGCTCGCACCGTCTTGGCTAATGGTCATCTCCGTCTTTCTTCTCGTATGCTGCATTTTTTGTGGCGTTGTACCGCCTGTAAGTTGGGCCCATCTGCCCCCAAAAACACAACGCCCGTGTGACACTGTCCGCTCATCCTCTTGACCCATTTGAATAGGGAAGCACTGGATTCTCTACTTCCAATTTCTTTCAGTACACTATTGGGTTCTGGCTTATCATAGTATTTACTGTTGGATACAAGCTCATCTTTGGCACTCCTTGGCGGGATCCGAAGACTGCAGATTGCATCACTGGTCGACGAACGCTTGGTACAGAGGAGATTACTCAATTAGACGAATACTATAAAATGTCTGCGTGGAGGCGGGGCTTCACCTATGTTCAGCTTTGGTAGATTGACAATAAAATAATCACTGCATCAACATTCTCTATAATCACACTAACTTGGCATATTTTAATCAAATATAAATGGTGCATGCGAGAGTTGAGAGACGTTCTACTTATCATTATTGCACAAACGACTTATTCAACGTGTCGTAGACAAAGCGTCGCGCGTTGAACTATCCCGTCAAGTGCCAAGATTCCCGGATCTATCAATTCAGTGGAGACCTGCATCGGTCTGAGATGCCGAAAGACTGATCAAAAGCATTTCCAACTTGACAAAACATCCGATTGGGGCTGCATGATGATAAAGAATGAGCATTTCGGGAATCTCGGATATAGTAGCCGTAGGGGCAACCATGTAACCAATCTAGACGTTATACGTCGACAGGCCCAGTCATTGCACTATGAATGGTTTGTAGTTGTGTATATTATCTTGTATTTTGGTAGAAGTTGGACTTTCAGAGCTGGCCATTTAACTTGCAACAAGACGATTGCTCAGTCATTATTACGCCTTGATCCTCCGTCATGTCTGTTAACCAAGTACCGCCAGAGACAATCCCAGTCCCTGCGACTCCTCACTCGCCCAACTCGAAACTTCCCGTCGTCGTGTACCGAGGCGCACTACTAGACAAAACTCTTGAGGGTGCGCTGCAGGCCGTGGACACCAGCGAGTGGCCCAAAGGTGGCCACTGGAAGATTGCACAAGAGAACCTGGCCGCGACTCCACATTACCACTCGATCACGCATGAAGCGTATACAGTCCTGCACGGCCACGGAACATATTCTTTGGGAAAGTCGCCTCTAGATGCTGAAGTTGATTCAGACGGGAATAACGTGGGTGTCACACTGACTGTGCGCGAGGGAGATGTATTTGCATTTCCTGTAAGCCAGAAATCCCGCTGCCTGGTTCAAGAGCCTCGGTTGACTTGTAATATAGTCGGGTGTTACACATTGCGTGACAGATGTGTCGCCGGATTATGAGATTATAGGCTTCTATTCTTTGGTGAGTCCTGATTCTGAAAGACGGATTCGGGAACACTTGTACAGTGTCGAAAGCTAACACCCGCCACAGAATGAGAGAAACTCGACAGAGGAGCCGTATGATATGGAGTATGCCCTCGACTCCCCTGAGGTGACATGTAAGAAACGCGAGATCTGCGAGCTGGTTCCTACCCCAGTACATGATCCGATCTATGGCAAGACAGGCCCACTGCCTGAGCTTTGGCGGAGGACATAGATATTGAGTGAGGACTCGGTGCTTGACTACTGGTCAAACCTCGATAGTTATCAGTAGAACTTTGCAAGATTGAATAGTCTGAAATTGAAGAGGGTTTCATCCAGCCAATTCTCCAAAAGGCCAACCGAGCTGGTCCGTGTCTAGAGAATCAGCAATGTTTATCAGTTGATCAGAACTAAGCTCGTAATTCCAATCTGAGAAGCTCAAACCAAGATGCTGGGACAGGGGATCGCTCGAAGCAGTGTCAAGGGACAAGTCGAGGGATGCCTCGTTAGGTTGAGGATCGCTCGCCAGCATACTGTCTGCAGGAAGAACCTGACTGTCGTGCGCGAGTATCTGATCCAACTCTGATTCCAGTAATCTAAGTTCTTTCAGATTCAGCTCTGCAATTTTATTGCCGTGAAGTGCCATCCCTCCCAAAATTGTATAGGCGCACTGTGACCACGGCGAATGATCGGGCAACAGGGATGAATCAACGGCCGCTGCCATGAGGATCGTGAGAGCAGAGATGAACGCAGCATCCAAGTCAAAGGTAAGGAAGTTTTCTGTTATCAATAGTGAGAAGCACTGGAATACTAGCTGCCCTGGCAAAAAGAACATACCTAGAAGCCCTTGGTCTTGGAGCAGCGAGAGTACCCTCAGCATTTGCTGGGCTGAGTCGATACAAATTTGAATGAGAGATTTGACACTCTCCGACTGGATCCACTGCATTGGTGCAACTCGAGACTGGCCAAGTCTTGATTGCAAAAATATGTAGAGAAGCGGCCGCGTCGTCAGTACGATGCACTTCAAGCAGTGAGTATGACTGACACCATAGGCGTTAATAGATCAAACCAACCTGGTGAAGCTGCAAGTGCAAATGTGCAGACACTCTTGATATACCAGACATGGCCTCATTTGCGTGCAAGTCTAGCGAGGACTCTAGTCGCTGCGTCACTTCTGCAATGTCTCGCAAGACCAGCTGAGTTGCGCCAATATATCTTCCATCAAGCTTTCCATCACGACCATAGACAGCTATGAGCGGTTAGTAGCTGCGCACTTTTCATCAACAGGATGACGATACTTTGATCAATCTTGGCCAGGATTTGGGATAGCTGGACCTGGATGCGCAGTGCGATCAACTTTTGTGTCTGCCCAGGGAGTTCTGGGAAGGGCGTGCTGATACTCTCCTCGGCGATACCAGGTGGCACTCCGAGGAGGGACGTGATTTGTCGTTCCAGAACGTATATGGTCCACCAAACAGTACGGCACCGTTCTACATAGTCCTTGTTAAGATATGGGCTCCGCATCTCGGTGTGCATTCCACAAGATAGAGCTGTTCGTAACGCTTGGCCGATCTGCAAGCGTTAGCAGGCAGTTGAAGACACAAGTGGAAGAGCCACTGAGATACGTACGACACGATGAGCGGCCGGGCGATGATTGAGACACTTTGGAAACGCATTAAATTTCAATGCTATAGTTCTTCTTGATATTGAAATAGGAGTGTCTGAAATACTCACCTGTAGCCACAACGCAACGCAGCATAGAACTTGAGTCTCCTCGACGGGATCGGCATTGTAGTAGGTAAAATCCGGCATCAGCTTCATGGCTTGTACAAACAGCTCGGTGCCCACAGGCTGCTGTGACTTTCTGGTTTGTGCTAGAAAGACCTTGCCGAATGCAAGAATCAAAAGATAGTGGACATACCAAAGGGGCGATCTTTGAGCAAAGCCGTGAGGGTCCTCGTGGAACGATGCAAATCTTTCCATGAATATGTCTTCATCAAAGAGATAGAATAGTCTGCCACAATGGAACTTGACAGAGTTGATGAGATAGATGGCATGGTCCCTGGTGGGGAGGTCAGAAATTTCGAAAGCGTAGTCAGATGAACGAAATCTGTTTCCATCCCATTTTAAATCGTAGACTGCCGAGTCAAATAGCAGACCCTCGTTTGACAATGTATGTCCCGTGCAGCGCATGTGTGTCATGTTGAGAACACGCCTACCAAAGGCCCAATTGGAGGATGTTCCCATGAATACTACAAGTCTGTAAGTATGTACTCAAGATGTCACAAACTTCCTGCGCATGACTGACATGGTTTTCCATCTGGGCCCAGTACCCAATCAGTCATGTGGAAAGCGAGTGGATTAACAAGAGGAAGTTGTGTCTCGACCCTTCCGGTCGACTGTCTTTCAGTTATAGCAGCAAAAGGAGCGGGCGTTGCTATACCGCCGCTGTGTACTGATCTGTTGATTTCTCCTTGTGAAGGTGATTCTGGCGCTGCATGATTGTAAGCTTCTGGTGGGACTATTTCGTCAACCAGGACCAAGTCAAGATCTCGTAATTACCTCTTGTCTGCTGCTGCTGCTTTTGTTTTTGAAGAGATGCGACTTTCTGTTGCAACTCCATGATATATCTGGCCCGAAGTCAGAATTCGTTCAAAAAAGCTACTTTTCAATAAAGGATTAGCATGCCTTCGTGATACCGTAACTTTGTCTGATTGGTGCCCAAAGTCGCAGTCGAGGTCTTTTCTTTTGCATTGTGTACAAGGCTGTGTACCGTCGCATCGAACCTTCTGATCTCTGCATCTTTTACAGCTTGCGTTGGTGATTTTTCCGTCAGCAGAAAGTTTTGATCGGGGGTCGTAGAGCTGTGTGTATACTACTCACGCCTTTGGCGCTCGTCGGCGTGCTCCTTCAGGCCTCTGCAGAGGGTCTTCGTCTCCCATGGTAGCAGGTTCCAGCGAGCAATGCCCCCACAAAAGATGGCTGTGAATCACTACGAGGGACCGGTAAAGAGATGCTTCAGTTGAAAACTTACGTCAACTATTAGGAAGACACAATTACTGATATGCACAAATGATTGCACCCGAGGGGCTTGTAGTTGATGCGGAGAAGAGGTGCGCGCAATCTTCCACTTACAACAACAGCCTTTCTATGCGCTGTAAGAGGAGCTTATCTCATCAGCAATTCGGAAAGTCTCCGCTTGCTGGGCAATTTGCGGGCGGGGATCTCTTGGTTCGATATTTCAAGCTAGCTACGCAGATCTTGAGTATAACATTTCACTAGGGGAAAAAAAAAATAAACTCCGACCGAATTAATGAATTATATTGATTCAAAGCACGAAAGAGAAGGAGCAGGATCATAGTGAGTGAGTGACAGTTTGTCCCCGCTAAGAGTGATTCCAATAGTTTCTGCCGAACATCATTCAAAATGGAAATATTAAACAGTGAAGCCGACATGTTCTATGATGATTCCATCTGAAGTCGACAAGACATTATTGCCTGGATCATTTATCCAGTGGCTACCGGAAGGCAGGACGGACTACTCAGAACAAATGGAAGCGGGAGAATACGGGAAGATCAATTTGATACAGAGTGGCTGAGCTGCACATTGCAGAGGGTCTTGCTTACATACACGAGACGGTGCTTGACTTCCGGTTAATACAACGGACGTCAACTTGTTGCGAAGAGTACATCTCCGTGATGGACATACGATTGTATCAAATATCCGGCATTAAGACGACACCTCCCTCCACCTTCCCGTATGGACAAGAGGGTACCTACCTACATACTTATCTCTACATTCAACATACTTTCATACATTGTTTGTCGACATCTGCATGCTGCCTTGGGGCGAAGCCTTGTGCACAGCCGCCCTTGGCTTGATTACAATGTTGCGTTGTTGTCAGTTTCTCGAGACTGCGCCTGCATGATTACTTAGCGGGCAATAATATCCTACCCCGCTGTCACCTTACCTATTTCACCAAAGTCTTTGAGAAATTCTCTCCTTTTCTGAATGTCTGCCCAAGTAAATTACAGTATCGTTTACCCCCCGGCAGTCACCACGCTAGAATGGCATCGCCGCCTAACAATCAGCCAAATAGTGCTGAAGGATGTTGGAAAAAAGCGTACGACTTGTTGGACGACACGCTCCGGTCCAGTATCAACTGTGTAACAACAGACAAGCATGATGTTCTCGCTGCAGTGCTCAAAACTGCAGCCCAGAAGCGCGAGATTTGCATTCACAAGCAGTGGAAGGCCAAGCTACCCAATGGCGAAGTCATCATAGTCCGCGACGTGGTCGAAAAGATCGCCAAGTGGGTGGAGGCCTTCATCGCTGTCGGAGATGTTGCAGTTCAATACGACCCCGCGACTGCTGCATTACCGTGGGCCGCTGTGCGCTTCGTTCTCCAGGCGGCAATCAGCGATACAAAGATCGAGGGAGCCTTGGTTGCAGATCTTGAAACCATTTCGAGGTTGATCACTCGCTATGGTGACTTTGAGAAGATTCACCATCTTCGCCTGTCACTTGTGAAATCTCAGATGGACAACAGCCTGACTCGTCTTTACGCGGACGTGTTGCGATTCCTAGCAATGGCAGTGAGATATTTCGATGCCAATAGATTCGGTAAGGTTGATTCACTCCGAACCAGCGGCTTATGGCACTAACTTGGACAGCTCGTGGCGTGAAGAACGTCTTTCGAGTTCCGGACAGCAGTCTGATGGACAATATCATTCGAAGTGAAGCGGAGCTACTTAAGATTGCCGGCCTGTCGGATAGCGAGAAGTTGTATTACCTTGAAGCTTCTGTGACCAGGCTCATAGACCAATCTTCGGTGTACCAGAAAAGTTTAGACGAGGCTAAGCACCTAGGCCTTCTGCGATGGCTTTCCTCGTCTCCGTTCACGCGACATCATGAAACAATATCGGAAACAAGGATGCCAAACTCTGCCACTTGGCTATTCAAACGGACTGAATACAAAACTTGGCGCAACTCTAGCTCTTCATCCATGCTGCTTTTACATGGAATTCAAGGGTCGGGGAAATCCAAGATTTGCTCAGCAGTGGTGGATGACTTTCTACACGAGCGCGTGTCTAACCAGTTGGCAGCTCATGTGGCGTATTTCTACTGTGCAGATTGCGAATTTGAGCCAGAACGGGCCCAAGCAAGCGGTGTCATGCGAAGTATACTACGGCAGCTTACAATCGCCAACGCTAGCCAGTCCATGGTCCACGACATTATATTGTCGGATTTTGAGCGTAGATCAGCTCAAGCCAAGGTCGATGGAATGGATTTGCAGAAGAAAACGACCAAAGACTGCGTTAACCTCATTCTTGAGGTTACCCTCCGCGATCCGGTGACCATCTTAGTAGATGCTTTGGACGAAGTCAGAGAACCTGATCGGCCTGCACTTATCAACGCCCTCGAGGAGATTGTGGTTAAATCATCGAGTATCGTGAAAGTGTTTCTCACGAGTCGCAACAACAGTCAAATCTTTTCTCTGCTGAGGAGTAGAGATACAAGTACAGAAGTGGGTTCACTACGGCAGCTTGCAAATCCCCATTTGAAGGAGATCGAGGTCGCCAGCGACGAGACATTGCCGGATATGAAGGCTTACGTTGCGCGAGAATTGACCCAGGCAGTGAAAGGTCGGCGTCTGCTCAAGGCAGATCCATCGTCAGAACTTTGGGATCTTCTCCACGAAAAGCTGATTCTGGGAGCCGGCGAGATGTTCCAGTGGGTCAATGCTCAGATCGAGTACCTATGCCAACACAACCGAGAAGCAGACATCGCAGCATCACTGCAAAGCGAAAATTGGGCTTCACTCGAAGATACTTATGGACAAATTCTCAATACGATGTTGAGCAAGAAGACGTCTGAGCGCGATATTGCCGTTCGAGCCATTTCATGGCTTCTATATATGCGGGAACCAATGCATTCCGATCATTTTCTGACCGCTATTCTTGGTCAGGAGGAAATTTTCAATGCTGACAGGGCTCAAGAAGAGCTTTTGGCAATATGCTCAAGCCTAGTATGGTTTGACTCCAAATGCCATACGTTCCGCTTCTCACACAACTCAGTCCAGGAGTTCTTACGAGCACAAGAAACTTTCTCTCCATCATCCGCGCATCGTGTGCTTGCCGTCGACTCCCTGAAAGTCTGCAGGCAAGGTCCAACTCCCGATGTCAATCCAGTTCCAAGCAGGCTGTATGGATATGCGGCGGTTTATTGGGGATATCATTGCTCTAGAGCCATTGATTCTCATGATGATGACGGACTCTCTAACGAAATCGTGTCCTTCATCTGCGAAAGCCCAGGCGATCTCAGTCTTTCGTTTGCGGAGTGGATGAACTGCATCGATGAGATTGCCAAGGGCCTACCGGATGAACATCCAATGAAGACGATCTCGGACGCACTACCAAACCCTGAAGGCTCGCCTTTGTTCGTGGCCGCCGCTTTTGGGCTGGATTGTTTACTCACCGAAGCCGTTCTGGGAGCCGGAGCTTTTGACTGGGACCAAAGAAATGCGAGTGAGCACACAAGCCTTTACATTGCTTGCGCCTTCGGAAACCAATCTGTAGCACGCAAGCTCTTAGCCCAGGGGGCAGATCCTAATGCCAGATGCGGAAAATTCGGGAATCCTCTACAGGCTGCCTGTTTCAATGGTCATGGTTCTTGCGCCCAGGCATTGCTGGAGTTTGGCGCTTCAGTCAAGTTGGAAGGGGCTTTTACCAATGCCCTCGAAGCATGCTTTCGCGGGCAAAACGAGGCGATTGCAATGATGCTCCTGAAGCATAAAAGCACCATTGAATGTGAAGAAGACTTCCATTCTGCCATGGAATGGGCCGCTCAAGCTGGATTTCTTGAGGTGATGGGATTGCTTGTAGAACAGCCGCCGAGTGGAAAGGTCAAGGTTACTATGTCAGAAAAGCTGAAGATGAAGACTGCTGGAGTAATTCAAAACGGGTACGAGGGAACTCTGGCGGCATTTCTGAAAAATAAACCAGAGCCTACCGAGCTTCTCCCAGATGGCCCAATCGCTCTGGCGGCTCTATATGGGCATGAGTCCATGATTGATCTTCTCATTGGCATGAATCTCAATCTGGAAGACGAATGCAAGCTTGGATCACCTCTGCGGTGCGCGGCGTTGATGGGTCACGAACGAATCACCCACAAGCTCATCGAGCTCGGAGCAGATGTGAACGGCTGTGGCCAACATGGGACGGCGTTACAAGCCGCTTCCATGAAGGGCCACATTCGCATTGTGAAGCTCTTACTGCGAAATCATGTTGATGTCTATCAAAGAAGCCTGAAGCATGGAACTGCCTTGCGTGCTGCGGCTTCCTATGGACATCACAACGTTGTCGAAGCCCTGCTGTACAGTGAGGTAGATTTAAAACGATATAAAACACTCAACGAGTTGGAAGTCGCCCTCAATTGTGCTGCAGCCGGGGGCCATTACGGAATTGTGATATCGATGCGCGGCAGAGACCACAAACTCCAGAAAATGAGGCGTCCGCCGGTAAAAGCTTGCGCGGGGGGCTTGCACCGTCGTGGCTTCCGCCGCTGGAAGCAAAGCTTCATGAACTGAGCGAGGGCTTAAGGCCAGACTCATGAATTGAAAAATCGCTTCGCGATTTCTGGATTCCTTATGCCGTTGACCGCTCTCGTTATATGCTTTGAAGTCAGCTTTTATCTCCTTCGTCTCTTCCTCCACTTTTGCCTTTATTTTCTCCTTCGTCTTCTCCTTCTTTAGGTATTCCTTTTTCCAGCTTTCAATTACGATAGCATATCTATAACATATGGCTTGGCAGCTGGGCCTTTGGGCTTGCACGCGGCTTTTTAGAATTATTTAACGCTAAAGTGACAAATCAAACGGATTAAAAGGTAGTGAAACTTCTGCTTAATCATGGCGCGGACGCCAACTCTCGACTTGGCCGAAAGGAGCCTCCGATCATTATTGCGGCCAGGTGTTGCTCGAAGCAAATCGCAGACTGGTTGGTAGGCGCAGGCGCAGATGTCAACACTACAATTGAAGCAACCAACGCTATATGAGCGGCGGCGCGCAGACGGCTTTTATCAGCTCCGATTTTTCAGCGACTGCTTGAAGCTGGAGCCTCCCTCGATGCTAACGCGACCGATGATCTACTTGAAGGCTGCCTGAAGTATCTCCCGGGGAAAATACATTCCAGGCTGGGGATCAGGAGTCTCGAATCGCTTCTTCTTTTTCTTTGTGGTATACTAGTAGTGTTTGAATACATCGGGATTTTATACGTGTGTATGGACATTATTCCAACAAACAACTTGCATCCGCTCGAGGACATGGGTGACGTATTTCCGAAACTGTGTTTCTTCTTATTAAATCCGTATCATAGGTATCATTCTGGAGTGTGTATTTCGTAAATTGTAATGAATAGGAGCCGGGTGGGTGGCACTCAAAGTTCGGCTATCTCGTAGCATCTATGGCTTGACCATACTTCCCATTACCTTCCTAAGCGGTTATCTTGTACGATAGCCACATGGATGGATGAATTTCAAGAATTCCCTCTGGGTGTTTTGTCAGAGGGTGCTTGTAAGACAACCTCGAACAGATATGAAATCAACAAGTCAGAAGCCTTAGATTATTATGATATACACAAACTATATACTGTTTAAAAACAGGATACGAAAAGAAATCTGTTCCTTCTCGCAGTTCGCAACCCGAATCCCTACTTAACATGCTTGTCAATAAAGTCAAGGATGTTGGAATAAGTAGTAGGCCAAGTGTACTCCTGGAAACTATTCAGTCATGATCGTAGTGAGTAACAAGGGACTGGCTCAAACTTACCAAATTTAATCCGTGACCTGAACCAGTAACAATAACGGCGTCAAAATAAGTGGCGTTTTGGAAGGAATGTTGGACCATCTCGGGTATAGAAGGCTCGGTAGCGCTACAATTCCCACCGCAGAAAGGGACGTCGCGTTCTATCACCATGTCAATGCTCTATTCACCCCCGCACGTGCCAGGAAATCAAAATACTCACCACCTGTAATTACCATGACCGGCCCTTGGTAAGGGTTGGGTGCATCATAGGCACCATTCATGGTCAGCACTTCTCCAATGGAGTTGGGCTGACCGGTTTGGAACGCAGCCTCGAGAACTGCCGGGTCAAAATCCCGCGGAGAAAAGAAGTCAGCCTGCAGAGCGCTGACGGTGGCCGTAACAATGTAGCCGTCGACGTAATTGGACAGTCTCGCAAACGTGTTGGCTAGGATTTCGTTGGCGCCGAGCGAGAATTCCGGTATGAAGTTCGGGTCCTTGCTGAAGCCAGTCAGGACGATACCATCCGAGATGGTAGGATCCAGAGCCACAAGACCATATGTCTCGACTGAGCCGTAGCTGTGGCCAACATGGGCAATCTTTGAGAAATTGGCCGTGATTCCCGGGACTGCGCTTTCGCGTAGCATTGTCGTCAAGGTCCGGAGCGCCGCGATTTCAAGGTACGACTGGATCTCATTGATTGGGTCGCCATGCGAGGACTCGCCAATGCCAAGGCGGTCGTACGCAAATGTAGAGTACCCTCGATTCAACGCCTGGTTCACATAGCTGTAGTTGTAATTGTTGGTCGGAAAGTCCCAGTATGACCTGTCAAAGCCAACGCCATGGGTAAGCACCTGAAGCGTGGTACCTGGGCCGTCATCAGGCTGGCAGTAAGTTGCTGCGATGCTATAGTTGCCCGAGACAGTGGCGTAGCCTGTCAGCAGCTCCGCGGTTATGTTGTGGCCCGGCTGTGTTGCGTCCAGAACAAAGTTTACAACATCGATGTTGGTTTTCGGAGCCGCCAAATCAAAGACGCCGTTGCGCGCCGAAGCGACGATGGGGATGGTGAGGTTCTGACACTGACGCGCGGCAGTAGTCGTTACAAAACCAGCCAGCAGAGCCGTTGTAATATAACCAGCCATGGTGTATTTTTAAATTCTTGTGTCTATCCTGTAGTGTGTGCAACACAAACTCTCTAGACCATCACGGGGACGGCGGCTGACTTATATGCATCTCTGTGTCCAAGCATTGCGTTTCAGCACAGCAAATTCGATGTCTGATTCCAAATTCATCTAGATAGATCAAGTCGGTCAGTAACTTTCCGCAAGTGTAGTACAAGTGACGCAACTGACGGGCAGATGAACACGATGAAAATCACCGAGTTTTATCGCCGAACCGGCTTACAATATGATTCCGCCAATTCCCGTCTTACATGGGCTAGCTATATAGAGTTAAAGATTTCAACCTACGTGCTAAATTTGAGTATCCCTAGTCGTGCTATAACGCGGCCCTATTTAAGCCACCGATCCGAAACATTTAGCTATTACGTCGGTGAGATTATGGACCAATGCATGGTCCGGGAGCGCCTCCGATCGAGGCGAAGCAACGCCGCGACAACCCCGGCGCCTCCATAGACCGGAGGGTTCGGGGCAATCGGGATTCGGGAGTGTCAAAAGTGTGACCACCGAGAGCGTGAACTGTCAATCGACGGCGCGCGTGCTTCAGCCTGTGTCAAGGGCACGTTGTTTGCTCTCATGTCTCAGACCAATATAATGCCGACTATGTCCATGTCATGCACAATGCATCCAAATAAACACAGCTCAGACATACCATCAATTGCCACCGTCTGAGAGGAATGTCAAATATCCATCAGTTTTACATCTTTACTTTTGATGTAGAGCAATATTGGAATCAATACTGGCAATAGTTCCTATTATACTATTTATGATGCTTTCGCTCTCGTGCGAACACATTCTTCTGTATGAGTTTTCTGTTATTGCAATTTCCCGGCCATTGTGGCTTGAGCAGTCATTCTCGTGACTACAAGACGATAGGACGTCTGTTTTGATTGATTGGAAGCTATTAGCAACAATAATTTCTCGTTGTGATTAGAAGCTGACCTTTAACCGAAATACCTATGTTTCAAACATGATCACTCTCAGGTGCTATCGCTGCACACAAAAATAATCATGACGGTGTCTCAATCTACTACATCAGCCATTCATCGTCACGTCAAATGAACCCAGATGGCAAAACCACGATATTTGCCGGTTGCACGGCCCGTATACTGAGCCTGACATCTGATTGGAGCGCATAGGCGCAAGCAAAAGAACCCCAAATCGCCAAGTTCGGCATTCTTATAGTCGGTTGTTCAGTGTCAGGGATTCCCCGCATCCCCAGAGAGCCACTGAAATGTATGGCCAACACGATCTGGGGGAACAAGGGGAGAACCCGAATGTGTATTGGGGCAAGACTAGTTTTAGACAAGTCCGCCGAGAGCCAAATCATCGTTTGGACCCATCACCATTTTCCGCGAATCTGAGCTCTTTCCGTGTCGCTTCCAAGTGCTTGGAAGCCGACAGCTTTCTGTTTCGTTTAAGCTGTTGCCTCTGTGAGTGACGTGATTTCTCGGGCCCCAAAAAGCCTTTCCCCATTTCTCCAAGCCGGAGAAACTTGAAAGAACATCGGTTAGTGGAAAGAAACACGACACATGTGACACCAGAAAGCAATTGCCCAATCAATTACCCATGATGATTCTCAGAAGTGGGAAATCTGCGGCCGAAACGAGGCAAATGGGTTGGGGTATATAGCAACACGATATGCAACTTGTTGGTGCCGATGGGATATTTGAGGGCAGCTGCCGTCTCTTGATTATAGCAGTCACTCGCTTTTCCTGTCCGTGATTCTCTTTTTTGGTTATCGCAATCTCACACACACGATGTTGCTCACAGCTGCTCTTGCCCTCGCGGCAGTAAGCCGCCTCGTCGACGCTGCCGCGGTGGCGATTGACACGAGAGCCGTCGTCGATGGCGAGCCGACCACGGTGGACCGGACGCTGCTCTTCCAGCCGCCCGACAACTACACGGATCCCCGGACGCTCTATGCGCGAACCGTCGAGCTCTCAGACGGCAAGCTCCTGGCCACGTGGGAAAACTACTCGCCCGAGCCCCCTCCGGTCTGGTTTCCCATTTACGAGTCCTTGGACTATGGGCAGAGCTGGACCGAGATCTCTCGCGTCCAGGACCAAGTCTATGGTTTTGGTCTGCGATATCAGCCGTTCCTCTATGAGTTGCCACAGGCGTTTGGCGACTACCCAGCTGGTACCGTGCTGCTGTCCGGAAGTGCCATTCCTACAAATCTGAGCGAGACGAATATTGAGCTTTACGCCTCAAGGGATCAAGGTCTCACTGTAAGTTATAAGTTACTAGAACTTTTTGCTCGACCAGCAGAAGTACTGTCCTCCACACCACATGATTTTGTGTTGTGATCCGTGGCCGCTACATATACATTGTGGCTTCGCCACATCTGTTGAAGCACGGAATCAATAAAAAACTAATGCGTTGACTCCGTAGTGGGAATTCGTATCGCATATTGCACACGGAGGTGTTGCACTGCCCAACAATGGCGAGACTCCAGTCTGGGAGCCCTTCATCTAGTAAGAATGAATTCCCAATATCCTCCTCGCTTTCGTACATGATACTAACCGAGGGTCTCGTTCAGCGTCTACGAAGACACCTTGATCGTTTACTACTCGGATCAGCGTGACCCCAACTACGGCCAGAAGCTGGTGCACCAGGAGACAACCGACCTGGTCAACTGGTCCGATGTCATTGACGACGTCACCCACTCGACTTACACGGACCGTCCTGGTATGCCCGTGGTTACAAAGCTTCCCAACGGCCAATACTTTTATGTAAGTACGAGCCGATGAAAATCAATCCGGGTTTTTCTTTCCAAATTTTTTGTATTGAAGTATAGTGACTGACATGATCACGTCAAAAGGTTTACGAGTACGGCGGCACGTCTATCACGACCGACTACTCGTTCCCCATCTACTACCGCATCGCCGACGACCCACGGCAATTCGCCGACGCGGCCGACCACTACGTCAACGCGTCGGGCTACATACCCGTCAGCAGCCCGTACGCCGTGTGGTCGTCGGTGGGCGGCGAGAACGGCAGCATCGTGGTGAGCTCGGGTCGGCAGCCCCTCTTTATCAACCGCGCGCTCGGCGACCCCGACGCCTGGGAGCTGTACGACGACTTTGACCAGCCCGCCGCCTATACCCGCAGCCTGCGTGTCCTGGCCGAGGACGACGACTTCTTGCTCGTCGCTGGTGCGGGTGTCTTGCCCCCGAGCACTACGAACAATGTCACGGTGAGCGTGTATAAGATCTCGGAGATCTTGGGACTGTAAGGCATAGATTAGCATAATATTCATGAAGAGTAATTGCAATTTCAAGATATCAAATTGAAACAATCGTAAGAAACGGCTTTGAGATAATTTGTCACACTGATAATCATTACTTCATTTATGAGATATGCACCATCTTGAAGTTACTGCACTAGTTATTGATCACCATACTCATCGACTCATATCTCGCAAGACTACTCTTTTCAATCTTTTCTCATCTTCTGTACGTCCTAATATGAATATATGACCCCTACCAATGTGGCACTTGATGTAGTTGTAGTATCAAATAATACAAATGGAAATGCGGCAGTATCGAAACCGCGGAAGTCGTGAATCCTGAGGGCACCTTCGCCTTCAGCAGCGTCTTTGACAATGATAAGACACCCACTGCCGGTCCCAGGCCCAGCATTTACAACGTCTCTGTCGCGGCGCAATATCTGGTGCAGATAATGGCGGCCGCGGATCTCCAGGCAATGCAAGAGCTGCCCCCAGTCCAAGACATCGCTCGCAAAGGCGCCATCGTGGTGCGGATAGTGGACCTT